CAGCACTCCTGTACACCTTGCAATTCTGAAGGATCCTCCAATGAGTGCTAACGAGTATGTCGTCGATCTCCTTGGCTGCATTACCCGCATCACTGTACCATGTCCAGCGATGTGGGTCTGGGCACTGGTACCAGGAGCCAGAAATCCTCAATTTCTGGGACCTAGCAAAGTCCCGGAAAAGGAGGCTATTCTCACTACCAGCATCAGCTCCTGAACCATGGGGACCGACAGACATCTCGTAGCCAGCTCGATCACAGCCAGATACCGCACTGAAGTCACCCAGAACAATGCGAATATCTCGCCGGGGACATCTGTCTACCACAGATGTAAGTTTGGCATAGAACATCTCTTTCACGTCAAGTTTACAAACATCGGTAGCGTACACAGCAATAAGAGACATGAAGCCAAAAGATAGCTTCAATCTCAATACCATTATATGCTCATCAACAGGAGTAACCTCTACTACCGAGGGCTGGAGTCTGCTGGAGATGGCAATGGCTACTCCCTGGAGTTGGTGGCCGTCACTGCGGCCCGACCAGTGATAGGTGTAGCCACCTACACAGGTCATGCCGCTGCCAGGCCTCCTCACCTCCGAGAGAGCAGCCACCTCAACTCTCAGCCTCCCCAGTTCCCTCCACAGTAGAGGCAACCGATCATCCTTACACCCTGACTTCCCGCCTGAGGTTCAGCCTCTGGCAGTCGCTCCGGGTGGATGCCACCTCTGCCACCCCCACCGACGCTGCCCCATATAAAAGAGGGTGGCGGGCTGCATGCCCCATCATCCACCTGTGGGGTTCCCGAGGGCTTTCCCCCACAAGCTTCATTCTGGGCTGGCGGCCACCAGAGCGCAGGTGAGACGAGTAGTTCCCTTCCCAGCCTGCGCTCAAGCAGTCGCCCTCCCAGCAGGGCTCACAGTCCACCTCACTTGCTGGGTGGGAGGGACTTTTCCCCTCCTCCCAGCCTTTCAGTTTATTTGGAATACTGCCGATTGGTTATATCTGGGGGGAGGAGGACTGGCAAGGCCCACCTCCCCTGAGCCTCCCATTAACCCTAGGGGGCTAGGGGGCAGGAGTTGGTACAGGGCCAGGGCGTGTCCACACGCCGGTGGGCCATGACCCTGAACCTCTGGGCCTCCTCCTGCTCCGAGATCCCCCTCAGTTTAGCCTGGAACCGCAAGGTACCCAGTTTATGTATATATATATATATATATATATATATATATATATATATATATATATATATATATATATATATATATATATATATATATATATATACACACACACACACACACAATAAAAATATTAATAATAAAAAGGAGGAGCATGAGATGAAAAGAGAAAACACTTATATAACCTCAAATTCTAGTTCCTCTTCCTCCTCTTCCTCTTCTCCTTGATCTTCCTCACCTTCCTTCTTCAACACATACTTTGGCCAGAACCATGGTTCCACAGGTTCAGTTAATTCCTGAAATAAAGAAATATGGAAAGAAGTAAATTAAAACTTTAAAAAATTAGTTCACAGCTGTATAAATCTCTACCCCCAAAAAAAAAATTATAAAAAGATCTTTAATTTTTTTTTATTTACTTGTCTTGTAACCTTATAAATATTGTTTACACAAAAATAAATAGAAAGCCTTACAGCTTTCGAGTCCATCTGATGGCAGATTCGCTGACTCTTCATCAAATCAGCATTGATCAACTTTTCTTGCTGCTGACTGCGCATCCTAGCTCTGAAAATAAAATCAATGTAAAATGGAAACATCTAAAATAGCAGCAGGGATCAAATATGTATAAAAAATCCGTGAGAAATAAAATTGTTACATAACTACATTACTAACAAAATCCCTGATATTTGCTGGAGATGACAATTCATCATAATGTCTAATGCAGTACTCTCATAATGGCAATTTCCTTTCTATAATTTCAATATTTTATCTAATTTCTTTTAACATGAGGGTTAATTCTACCTGCACTGCTGACAAAATTTGTGCTCATTCAATCATATTCAGACTGGGTGAAACACTTGTTCCAGGACAACGGTAATGCACCTGGCAGAATTTCTGAACTGTTTGTATGACCCAAATCAGCAGTAATCACTTGAATAAGTGTAACTGGCTTTTGGAGACTGATGACCCTTCTGTACAAAGATCTGTCACTAAAACTTGTGGAATTCTTGTGGACAAACAGATGGAAGGGCACTCAAGAACAATTGTCCCTCTAGAGAACACTAGTCCAGACGCTCATGCAAAAGGATTCCAGATATGTTTCTGAGATTAAGAAACAGGAAAAGGGATCATCATTAAGATACTGAAACACTGGATCTCCTGCGCCCTCATTCTGGAGCAGAAATGGACTTCATTGAAATACTAGTTCAATGAAGGGGCTCAGAGGGATCTGCACTTCCGTTAGATGTGATGAAACCTTGACTTATCAGTATTGCCCTGAAACCATCTGCATCTGACAATCTGCAGCTTTAGTGCTTCCAGAAGAAATTCTGAAAGTTAATAAGTCTAGAAAAGTGATGGTGTGCATTATGAAGCCTATGGTGAGCCCAACTAGAAGTCGTTTCAAAGGTAGCAGCTCTGTGGAGAGTCTTCTGGGGAGTACCCTGAAAAACTATAAAAGTTTCATTAAACAGTTTGATAAGGTAATTTTCCTGCTGGTGCTATATCAGGAAGCCAGACTGTCCTGTGGTCTGAACCTATCAGTGCCCATTTTGACAGTTCAGCCATGGGTGGCTTTTGGGCTACTTGTCCAGGGATGCTTAGAATGAAAAAATTCTCAGTTGTGCTTCCTTCTTGTAAGATGCTCAAACAGCAACTGCCTCCAGATCCACTGTAAATCCTGTGATCTTTTTTCTGAGGATCTTGAATTGTAAAGATTAAAAATCATATATTTTTTGCAAAACCACAAACTTCCTGTTGGATCCATAAAGCAAAGTGGCTTCTATTATTCTGGGGGAAAATGCAAAATTCCATGAAAAAGAATGCAATATAATATAATTAGTGCTGTAAGCTTTTTGAGGAATAAAGGCATTAAATCTTACGATAAATGAAATTCATACACTATAATAAGTTTACATCTCATAACTAACCTGAACTGCTCTGGGTCTATTTCTTTCTTGTGTTTTTCTTGCTTTTGTCTTTTTATCTCCTGTTGCTTCTTTCTGTGTTCAGAAATCATCTCCTGCCATCCCAGCCCAACTCTGTCTGCCTTCAGCTCCACAGCAACTGGTTCGAGTTTTCCCTGGCCTTAAAAAGTAAAATATCCTTACTCAAAAAGCTTGAAATTTAAAAATGTTGAAAATATGACTTCCCTTGACCTGGTGACATCTTGTATTTGTGATTCTGAAAATTTCTCTCAACTTAATAGCTGTTTAAGCTACCTTTTCTTTATTGGTACATGAATGAAATAGGGTTTAATATCAAGCACATTTTAGGCACAAAGAGGAGTGCCACATAAAACAAAAAAGAAAAGTCTATAGATCATAGTAATTATACCCAAATGGCTAGGAATTAGCACTTTCTGTGAATTATGATTGCACATTATATCTTATATACATGTATGAATCTCCCAGAATATGTTGCCTTTCTAATACTATTTCATGTAAAATGATTCATTTCAATTTAGGGTATATCCTGCAAACCTAGCATGAACAAATAGCCATATTTCAGTCTCAAATCAATATGATTTACAAGATATGTCTTATTCTTCAGTTTAGAAGGAAAATACATACCTTGCTTTCCAAGACTAGATCCAGGCTTATATCCCATTTTTTGAAGCATTGCAAACCCTTTGTTTGAGGAGTCCAATGCTGTATTAAGCCCTTCTTGCAACCGTTCTTGCTGGACTTGTTTCACAGGTTTGAATCGTTCACGATTTGATTCATTCTTATTCTTTCTTTGTTTCTCAATTTGAGCACTCCTCTTTGATGAGTGTGAAAACAGCAAGCCAGGACGTACATCATTATTACCTACACTAGAAAAAAAAGGTATAAGATAAATAAAAAAAAGAGAGAGGAAAATTATGATCTGTGAAAATATGAACAAGAAAAAACAAGTAAAATGAAAGATATGGATAAAGGTTAAATTATATTTGTTGTACCCTGATTCTTTTTCAGAGAGAGCTTTTTTGCAAGCTAAGGAAATAGGGGAAAAAATGGGTTGTTAAACCTTAATGTATGATCAATAAATTGGTATTATGGTCTACTTTTCTGCTTAAACAAGATATGTCAATTACCCATTAAGAGGTGTTTGCTTGGCTAAACCAGATAAGACTAGATGTATTATGGTTTGACAAGTGCTATGCTAGACCAGATTAGATTAGACTCTAAGGCTAACTGTATCTTTAGGTAATTTTCACAATATCTTCCCATAACTGATCTCCACAATTTTGATATCAATGGATTCCTCTCCCCCTCTTGTACACATATACATAGAAATTAAGCTGTGGAACCCACCCAAACCACCACACTCTTGGCCCCAATAGCAGGGAGGGCATGGAATGTACTAGGGAAACTGTGGGATAACCTAACAATAATATAATAATATAAAATTCATAATACCTCATTTAATTGCTGAATGCAGAGGGCTGTGTCCCCTGCGAGCCCCATCCATGGAGAGCTACTGCCCCTGCCCCCTGCCCAGGAAAACAAAGAATCTTCTACTAATTCACAGCAGAATAGAGAATGGGGCACTCCTGCATGTCGGTCATACACTCTACCCTCCAGTGAACATGGAGGGATTTTTTGTCTTCATTTCAAGGGTTGTAGGGGGTGAGCTACAATACAAATGTCTCCCTATGTTTTTCGCGCGGGTCCACAAAAAGAACCCGTGATAGTAGGCGAAATCCGTGAAGTAGAACCTTTATTTTTTTTACAATTATTATACAATGAAATACACTGCAATACATTGAAACCAAAGAACAAAACCTTTTTACAGGCCCAAGCATTTGTTTAACAAATAAAAGTACTGTATAAATGTTTTTTACAAATAACTACTGTACTGAAAAATAATAATTTTAATCATCAATATTTATACTGAAAGGCTTCATGGGTTTAAAGAAAAATTTGCAAACAATACTAAAATTGGCAGGCTGTTATAACGTACATGTACATATTAAACATAACGTTATTGACACAGATAGGAGAAGAAGCGGAGAGACTGTTTAGCCAGTTCAGAATGAAGCAGAACACACAGGCACAAAATTGCAAATCCGTGAAGCTGCGAGAACGCGAAAGGTGAACCGCGTTATAGCGAGGGTTCACTGTATAGTGTTATTGTGTATATCATTCATATTTTACCCTGCAATTTCCTAGTACCTTTCATACCCTCTCTTGCTAGCAGGGCCAAGATTGTCGCTAATGGGATGTTTCAAGCCATAATTTCAATATAATTGAACTGTAGAAGTGACAAAGGAATCCATTGATATCAAAATCGTCACAAATGGTATTGTTATATGAAAAAAATATACCTGATATAATGATTATAAATTTATATTGAAAAATAACCTATATCTATAATTAATTTTATACTGGAAAATAGAGAAAATGATATGAACCTGAAAGAAAGGAAAATTTTACAATGCAAAATATTTCACTACTGATTCAATATTTCATTTAACTATTGATGATTCAGGTATATTACATAAATAAATCATAATCAGTACTGATTTACATAAAGTCTCAAGAAAAGGAAAAAAAAAGAAAAAAAGAAAGAAAAGAAGAAAAAAAAAAGAATAGAAAAGAAAAAAAAACTGACATAATGAACGCATAAAACACATGTACAAAATGAAATCTGCAGTCTCATAGTTAATGCAAGCACTTATATCAAAATCTTAGCATCTAAACATTGCTTCCACTCTTTATGTTCATGCAATAGTCATTAATCCTACACAATAATATCTATAACAGATGAAAAATTGATAAACTCTGTTATGATTAACATGCAAATAAGTCAAAGATTATGACTTAATTAATCCATGTGTGTTACTGTGTGGTAATTAATGAATCTAACTAGCCTGATAGCAATAAATGCATTATCTATCTTTTTTTTCTTTAAAATTTCATGTTATCAAGATAATCTATTATCATATGTTAGTTATCAAGGATGAATTCTGGATTTTAATCATTATAGTCTAGATATGAACTACTAAATTCCAAAGCATCAAAACATCTTCAACTATGATTTACTATAAGAACATAGATTACTAGCTCTACTTTATAAGTTCTTAAATCACACATTATCAAGTTCCAGTGCCGCAAACAAAACATGGTGACCGGATACCTGATGCAGTATAGCCATAAACTGGCAGGTTAAATATGTCATCTAATCGACCATGAAATGACTCTGAAAATACATATAAGGACGGAATATCATGAAAACATGACATGAATTATGTTGAAAGAAAAAGACAAATCATGCATTTAATATTACTGGTAGTGATATTTCTAAGAGAGGCAAAGTACCTGTGTACTGGTGTACATGGGCAGCAATTAGTATGGTTAATTTTTGTAATACGTCTCCATATTGGATACCAACAATTTTGGTACTGTTAGATTCCTCTCACTGTCTACAATAGCAAAATATATAGGTTTTATTGTGTGGAAGCCCTGCCAACCCCCACATTCTTGGCCCCTAAAGTAGAGGAGGGCATGAAAGATGTGATGGAAAATCTGGGAATATAAATATAATAATATAATATATGTTTTAATGCATTAAAAAACCCTCACCCAGGAAATCAAAGAACCCCCTCCAATGACATCAACTGTAAGGGAGAAAGTGTGGATGAAACCGCCATGTGGGAGCCACGTATTGACAAGTCTGTGTCCAATGCTCTCTCCTGCTATGAAACATGGAGGATTTTTTGTTTTCCTGGCAGAGGGTAATAGTGAGTGCACTCCCCCATGGGGGGTTGCAGGGAGAGACTGTTAGTGCTCCCTACATTAGACAAATTTGTGACTGATTCTGTGTATATTTACATTTCAATCCACAATTTCCTTGGTAGCTTTCATGCCCTCCCCTGCTATTGGGGCCAAGAAATGTAGGTCTTTGGCTCTTTCCGTAAACAATTTGGTTATTTTTACCGTTAATAATACTATTATCCAGATTCCCAGACAAACAGTTTATTCATCAGATTGTTTCATGTGTCGAACGAAATTGAATGACGCCATTTCTGTAGCAATCACAGCTGGCACTCTGGATTATAAATCAGAGAAATTAAAATAGGGTAAAATCAAGCTAAATATGAATAGAGAGAGAGAAAAAAAAGCAAAAAACCAGCACAAGAAAAACGCTTCAAATTAACTAATAAAACTATATGGACATGTCCGCCACCTTTGAAAGTCTACAGATTGAGGGACTAACTTAAATAAAAAAAAATACAGGAATCCAACCCACCTTTTTGGTAATTCTCAGGAATTCACTCTACCCAATTTTTCCCCCAACACCCCCCAGGAAATATTCCTGTACAGCAAGATAGAGCTGCATACATACCTCAAAGAATAAACCAAACACCTGTATATCTCAAGACACCAAACTTTCCTTTGCTTCAGACTTTTTTCTGGATGGCTTGGTTTCTAAGCACTTTTTACAGCAATTAAGGGCAATTTCCAGGGTCACATATCAAACTGTGATAGTTGCTAAGGTCTATTTCTTCTGCCAAGCCACTATAGGGTTTTACAAAGGACCTAGAATCGATGCAACGCTGAAAACGAAACATTCCTCACCAACTTTTTGTCAAGGAATGGCAGTTGCTAGTCTTAAAAGATAGCACAAATGCACATTAAGTTTTTGTAAGGAATAGCGTAAAACTATCAAAACAGATAAATAAAGTTGACTAAAAGTAAAAGAAGGCATAAATCAAAAACAGAAAATAAAATATCAAACATAAAAAGTTACTAAAAGAAGGAAGGCATAAAAATACATAAATTAGGAAAATCAGGTGTAATCTACACAAAAATATTGTCTTCACAAGCATATAGTAATACATGAGCTACTTGAAAGACCACAGGAATGAGTTAAGCAGTAGTAAATTAAACATTCATGTTGTAAATAAGGCTTGCAAAGATGGGTTGATCTCTCTTGTCTGTCATGTATCTCTTATATTTTTGATTTGCGCACCTTATCCCATAGACGAAAAGTATCTTAGTTTGTATCAACGTAATCATTCTATACAATTCCAAAGACCATTTCATCAGAATATATGTGATGGAGGACAGGTAGCCTTTGCTGGAGCTCAAGGTGTGTTATGGGATTTCTTGATGCTGTCCTGTTGCACGTAATTATCTTAATCTTCTTTATCCTGTATAAAGCTGTTGTTTATATTTCTTCATACCTCTTCTAATTCCGATGCAATAACCTCAATTAAATTTCTTTTAATTTTCAGAAATAATCCACATGACCAAACATTATGAAAAACCTTCATATATCTGTAATAATAACATAACATTAGGTGTTACAACTACCATATTACACCTAATCATAAGCAACATACCACTGCGCCAGAAAATCCTCTGACATATAGTCGATTTCCTCTTCACTATCTGCCATGATGGACTTTGTGTTAAAATAATTACTTGTTAACTTCTTCGGCCGCCTCTCTGTTTATAAACAATACGTCCGAATCCATGGAAATGACTTTGTCTTCATTCGCATTTAATTCTGAGGGGTGTCATGTGTTTCGAATCTATTTTGGATATCACATACCTTTTATTTTGGTAATTTTTAGTCCTGGAATTTGTGCTATGGATTCCGCTTACTAAGCCGCCGATAAGTGATTCCAAGGAGTAAAACAAACAACTTACGCATGATTGCATTCGCTAAATTAACAAGTAGTTATTTGTTAACGCAGTAACATCCTACTACAGTCTGCAAGATGGGACAATGCTTATTAGGGTAAACAATTAAGTATAACTTTTATAGGCCGTCCATGTGGCACTCTACCCTCGTTCTCTCTGTTTTCTGTTTATCTGTCTATATGAACACATATACGTATATATATATATATATATATATATATATATATATATATATATATATATATATATATATATTATACATTGTGTGTGGTGTGTGTGTGTGTGTGTGTGTGTGTGTGTGTGTGTGTGTGTGTGTGTGTGGTGTGTGTGTGTGTGTGTGTGTGTGTGTGTGTGTGTGTGTGTGTGTGTGTGTGTGTGTGTGTGTGTGTGTGTGTGTACGAAAACGTATACACGCAACATACGTATATGAACATAGCATGTATAAACCATACATATCAAAACACAAACACAAAGTTTATTTACAGCTTCATATAATCATTCTATGTATACAAAATATAGCAAAGCGTCGATATAAAACGAATGGTAAGAAGTGAGAGAAACGCGTCGACAGTCAGTTGGAACGCGTAAGAAGAGGATGATGACAAATTTGATTTTCCTCTGTCAGTTACTGCTGTAATGAGCGTGTCCTTTTTAATAGCAGATCTATTTTCCTCTCAGGTATTCCGGAGGTGTTTATGGTAAGTTAAGAAAGTAATTGTTAGAGGACAATGTTTTTTTTTGCAAAAGTAGAAGGAAAAATGTTGATAGCGTAATGATTCATTGTATTTCATATTAGTTCATGATCATTGTCATTCACAAAGTTGATGTGATATATCTTTACGTGATGTTTTGTTTGTCAACTATCTGTTGATGGGAAAACATGGAATTTTATTTCTAATTAAGTTGAAACAGGAAATAGTGAAAGGCAACTATAATTGTAATCCTTTAGTTTAACAATCTGATATTAATCGGACTTTTCTCGGTCTTACCTCGAGGAAACTCACCAAAAGTCTTAACTTATTGATTTGTCAAATGTTTTATGTATATATCAGCTTATTTTCGTATGCGTATGTATATAGGCCTATAGATATTTATTATTATTGTCTATATTTTGCCATGAATCGATTTAACAAGAAGCTGCGTGTACTAGATTTTTTTTTTAATATAGACTAGAATAAACCACTTGTAGTTGATATATATATATATATATATATATATATATATATATATATATATATATATATTCTGCAATATAGGCTTATTCAAGATGATTCGTGAATTATTTACTTTACTTTTTTTTAGCATTTCGAAAGTCAGAGCTTGATAAATTGTTGAAATGATTGTTGAAGTTGAAATATAATTAAAATGTTACGTTTTAGTCATTTCCAATTTTTTCTCATGTTGGGTGGGGGAAAATATAGGAGAACTAGATATTCTAGAGGTATTTTTTTAAGTTACGACCGGGCCTATATAGGTATAACTTAGTTTTTAAAAATAAAATAATTGTAGCGCTTTGGAAGGGGAAGGCAAACTAGACCTTGAGGGGGCCAAACATAGCCCCCCAAATGGCGCCCCTGTGTTGAGGAAATAACTAAATTAGAGGGGGTTCTTGACTTCCGACGGAGATCCCGTTCCTAAGATGGCGTCGTAACCCAAATTTTGACATAAGTCGGAATACACCTAAATACAGTTCATGTACGTACATTAGCACCGAAGACACTCACATATGCTAATGCAATATGTATACATGTATTAAAGTCAGAAGCTAAAACATAACAAGACACTTCTATGACACATGAAAACAACTAGGGCTAAAGGAACACATGGAAGACAAACTGTAAATACTGTATATGATTTCTAGCGTCATGTCCACGAAACGTTGTAAGTCGAGACCGTCGTAAACCGAGGACCCCTTCTAGATGTATATTTGTGAAAATTTAGTGATATAAAAAGTGAATGAGACGGTGTGTGTGTGTGTGTGTGTGTGTGTGTGTGTGTGTGTGTGTGTGTGTGTGTGTGTGTGTGTGTGTGTGTGTGTGTGAAATATCTTTTCACATGAATAGGTGATTTTTTTCATATTTGTGTCTGTGGTTCATTTCGAGATTAATCTTTTAATGCACTATGTCGTGGGGAATGGTTTATAATATAACGGTAATGTTCTCACTTGTGTTTATTTGGTAGTCGTTATGTATTATTATTATTGTTATCATTACTATTATCATCATTATTATTGTTATTGATATTGGTATTTTTATTGATAATAAAGATATTATCATTACTGATAATAAAGATATTATCATTACTGATAATAAAGATATTATCATTACTGATAATAACGATATTATTATTATTGTCATTGTCATCATCATCATCATTATCATTATCATTGTTGTTTTTGTTGTAACCTTTTCGTTTATATTACAATAAGTTTATTATCAACATCTTTGCTATAATAAAAATTATTTTCATCATTAGTAGCATCAATAACATAATTATTATCACAAGGGTTACTGTAATATTAACGGTTATTGTTACTATTATCATTATTGTTATTGTTGTTGTTATTGTTGTTATTATTAGTTATTATTATTGGTATCATTATTGTTATTATTATTATTATTATTATTATTATTATTATTATTATTATTATATATTATTATTATTATTTTATTATTATTATTATTATTATTATTATTATTATTATTATTATTATTATTATTATTAATTATTATATTATTATTATTATTATTATTTATTATTATTATTATGTTATTATGTATTATTATTATTATTATTATCATTATTATTTTATCTTATTATTATTTATTATTATTTATCTTATTATTATTTTACACTACATGTTATTATCACTGTTACTTTGTTGTTGCTTACATGTGCCCTCTTTATGGTGCAGTTTTGATGGTGAGTATTAATGAGTGCCAGTCAACAATCACGTGACTCAACATTCAAAGGAACTGACTTTCAGAATGGAGAATCCGAACCCAAGCCACGCCCTTGTCAAGCAGGAGCGAAAACCAAGCCAGGCCGATACGAGGTCAAACTCGAATTGCGTACCTCATAACCCGGCTGGTCACGTGAACCCCGCCCTCACTCCATGCTGACTTCTGACCTCGCGGATAAGATGTTGCAAAGTGTGGGGAAAAATGGCAAGTTTTTGTTTATTGTTTTGTGGAGTGTGTTTATGTTTAATTGCTTATGAGCCTGTATGCCTTTTATGATTTTGCGTTACTGTTGTTTTGATTGGTATGGTGATATTACGAAGTTGTTTGAAATTTTGGTAGTATTTTCATTTTCATCGTGAAAAAAAGTGTGTGCGTGTGCGTGTGCGTGCGAGCGTGCGTGTATTTTTGTGTGTGTATTTGTATTGTGCCACTACATGTACAACATATATTAAGTAGGCCTATTATATATTTACGTATCACCTCATCTAGTGCATACAAAACACTGAGCGAAATTAAAAGTAAAATTTAACCGTATTTTTTTCAGTCTTACCTGATTTACACTGAATATTCTCTCCTCCTTCCATCCTTCCCTAGTGAGTGATTTGATTTTGATTCTGATTCTGATTCTGATTCTGATTCTGATTCCTAGGGAGTCCGAGTAAAGCGGGATCGGCGACGACAGACGACTTGGCCGCGAAACTCGACCATCTCCACATCAAGCAGCGGCGCCCTTGGTAC